CGCTGGATTTCGGGAACCAATTTCAATATGCCCGGCACGTTCGTTCGCCTGCATGGCAGCAGCAGCAGCAGCAGTTGCTGTTTACGGCCATCTCTACATCTCTCCGTAGAAGCATCATGCATTACCTTATGCCCAGCCACGCCCATGCCCGCCCATTCCCAACCCATGTCGTAAAGTGCCAGTGCCTGCTATTTACTCAGGGCCCCAGAAGTTGAGTAATGACGACCATGATGCAGCAGCAGCAGCATCAAACGAAGGACGCAATATGCTTGAGGTTGCTCGTTGCCGCTTATGCAAATATGAACAACACATGAGAGAGAGATGCCTCGCAGGTGGCATGAGGATAGCAACCCCCAAAGCCCTACTGAAGGTTAGATATGCCACAGATTAAGGGGTCAATTTCGGGAATATGTTTTGAGCTTTAATCTAAAAAATAGAAGATTTCTTGTACCCCCAATGCTCTACTATGGCTGAGAAGATCAAGGAATCCATTGCTAATGGTTAGCCATTTTTCATCAATCTAAAACCATCTTGGGATCAGATGGCCCACATTAAATTTAAATATGCTTTTAAATTCCAATATAAATTTTGATTATCAATTTTCTAAGGTGCTTTGGGGAATCTCCTTGGCAATCCAATTAGATTAATGCCGGGAAATACAAACAATTATGAGTTCCATGATGGTTGTTCAATGGCCGCCGACACGCGTCCTGCCCCACGCCCCGCGTCGACCATAAATCAGCAGAATGTTGTGTGTCCAAATATGAATTTAATTAAAGGTCCCTTTATGACAACAAACGTCGCCTGCGTCGTGGTCGTGTGCTGGCGACCACTTTAAAATATTACCAATATTGTCATCTCTCTGGTGTAACCTCCACCCTGGGCACCTTTCCCAAGCATTAGGCTTATTAGAAGGACACGCGGCCGGGGTTTCGGTTAAGGGCAAGGGCAATGTGCAACGCATGCAACATTCGGTCGTCAAGGTTGGCTGTCAGGCTGCCAGGCTGTTGGCTCTTGGGATGAGTCCCTGTCTGAGTATCTCTTTCCCACCCGACCGCCTCCTCACTCTGTTTGCCGCAAAAACAGTTCACGCATCAGGGGACGTGCAACGAATCCTAGTCGGTGGTTGATGCCCGGGGACCAGAATTGATTGCCCGATCGCCGCAGTGAAAGGCATCTTGCTGGAATCTGCTCCTGCAAGATGGACCAACGACCAGACAGGTCTGCCTTCTTTTGATGATGTATTCCTCTTGCCATTGCCGTTACAGTTGATGCATGCAAATCCTGATTATGCACGGGACACGCGTCACTGAACATCACCCCTCCATCATCCATGTATCTCTTTCCATACGTCACGTGCCGTTACTCTGTGACAATATGGCAACAAACGGTCTATTGTCAGGGTTACCAATATGCGTGGTGGATTCTCTTTTTAGGAATTTATTGTGCACAGAGTTTCCCCCAGGAATTTATTAGAGAAGAATGGTAATTCAGTAGATCTTTCGAAGGCATTCTAGAAAAAGATAAAGGCTTAGTGACAGAAGGAAATAACACACTCTTAAAAAGATACAATCAGGACCAACAATCGCTTAGAAACTTAGTAAAGAAAAATAACCAAGGTCTATCATTTATTATGGGATATTTGCTCTTTATCTAAAGACACCTCTGTTTATCAATCAAACAGATTCCTGACAATTCTGGACAAGCGCTGGCCTTTTGTTTATGCAAAGCAAAACATGGAAGTAAACGGTCACCAATTATAAATCAAAAGTGACTTTTAATTAAAAGTTCAAACCTCTGTGGCAGTGGCAGTAACCTCTGCCTAAGATGCTGACGCCAAATGTCGTTCGTTCGTTGGCTTAATTTTGTTTTGCCATCGCACCCTCATAAATCACAAAAAAAAAGAGCAGGAGTACCCAATGTACGGGGCAGAAGTCAAGAAACCATGGAACGAGGGTTGAATCCTGGCCCAGACCCAGACCCAGACCCAGACTGCTGCCAGTATATTAATTGAAGGTGCAAATGCGACGCACTCGCACCCCGTGGCAGACAACGGAAAACAATAAACGATGAGGATGAGGATGAGGCTGAGGCTGTGTGGATGTGGGGAGTCCTGAGACAAATGCAAAATACGCAACAGTTTCATTCCTAGTTTGAGTTTTTCATGTTCGTCCTGGGACCGTCCTGGCCGCAACAAAGAAGGGAAGTCTCGATTGCAGTAAACGAAACATAAAACCCACTTGCCCACATTTTCTGCCCTCAGGGTTGGTTTTCCCTTTCCTCGTCCATCTCCAGTGGCCGCTGCCGCGGCCCTTGTTGTCGTCTTGACAGCGGCTGCGGCGGTCCTTCCTTTTTATTTTCGGGGTGGTGCTGGCGATGGTGGTGGTGGCGGTGTCAAGTTCTTTTTGCGCCGTCAAGTTGAATTATCATAAGTAATAATCATAACCCAAGTATCCGGCGGCAGAGAAGCCCAGGGCAGTGGCGGGAGAAGGGCGGAATGGTAAGGTGCCACTATTCAAGAGGGGAGTTTCCTGTTTTTTGCGGATTGTGGAGTGGGCAGTGGGATGAGTGGTAGGTGTGTCCATCATTGGGGAGATTTTAAAAAGTTGCTCAGTTAATTGCGCGACACTTGGGTCTTTATACGGATTTCCATGGCCAATCTCTCGCTGGGATTAGCAGAGGTTTCTCCCTGATATGCGCTGATTAACTGTGGCCATCAACTGTGGATTGGGAACTCTATTACTCTGTTACCCGCGCTTATATTCCTGTGTGTGACACATCCTGGCTGATCTCTAGCGAACACAACACTCAGGGGAGTGCGAAAACCCTATGACCTGGCAAGTGACAGTACTCAAACCACGCCCACGCGCCAACATAGCAAAGTTTGGGAGGGGGCTGGAGGTGGAAGTAGGGAACTACTCCAGAGATAGTGAGAGTTTTGAGTTTCCCAAAGCCAAACAGCCACAGCCATTGAATGTCAGTCACAAAAATGCAATCACAGTTTGACACAATTTGACCGAGGCGCCACTTCAACACGTTGCAGCTGCAATATCTTTACAGTTACAAAAGCCAGCAGCCACACAAACACAAGCACACCCACACACACACACGCAGTGGCAGAGGCAGAGGCAGACAGGCGGAGACCAACGCACGAACGACAACTCTGCAAACAACACAATGACAACTCTTTAACACAGTTAAGTTGGCAGCGCTGCAGCGACAATCGATGTCGATGTACAGTTATCCATTTGCCCATGCATACCCTGCAAATCGAAAGGCTATAGGTCGGGACTATACGACGCAAGATAATTATTGAAGGAACTGGAGAAAACAACCGTAAAATTCTAATATTTAAACTTAGATTTGAAAATGTAGGCCGAAGGTTTGTAGTATATTTCTCTGATTCAACATAAATATAGGTCATATTAAAGTTCAATCTGCCAGGCTCCTTTTTTACGATTTACTTTTGAAATCACATAACAAAAATATGTGAAAACTGGAGCACCTGAAAACGAAACGTTTTTGCTGAAAACGTAATCCGCAAAAGTAAGTGAAAAACGGAGCCTGACTGAATATTTGTTAACATATATTTCTCAAAAATGTAATACATATATTATATATATTTTGCATGATTTTATAGACCAAATAAGGGCTATATTAAAAAGACTTTTCAACACCTTGATATTTAAATCAAAATTACCCAGAATTTCTGGGTAATTTCAGTATACAAGTTTTTGGAATTAAAAGCCGAACATTTAATTTAAATCTGGATATGTTTCATTTTACTATGCCAGTAATGGGTATTATGAGGGAGGGTCATTTCCAAGTATTAGACAGGAGTGAAGTCCACAAAGGTGTATAGATCCTCTACAAAAATAATCACAAGTCAAAGGTTTACGGCCTCTTTTAATAGGTGATCCATTATTCGCTACGGCATTGCTACTCTTTGCTTCTTGGGTCGCCTTAGCGCGTGCTCGAGTGCATTTACTCACACTCCCTCCTCACACACACACACTCGCGCTTGCACTTGCACAAATACAAACAGATGCCATTGCCATTTTTGTTTTTTTGTTGCTGTTTGATTGCGTTTTTATCTTCGTCATTTCAGCAGTGCCGTGCCTCTGTCCCCCACTGTCCCAATCCAGGACCCGCTCGCACTCCAAGTGCAACTGCAACCGTGGCAGCAAGGCTTCAGCGATATATTTTACTGCGACAACATTTCATTGCAAACATTGTGCAATTTCACTTTAAACGTCAATCGATTTTCATGTGATTTTTACCAGCATTTCTCCTCATTGTCCCACCACACAACCTTTGACTTTTCTCTAGTGTCCGCAGAATGTTCTTCTGGGTTTGCTTTTTTTCGGTTTGAGGAGAAAAGTTTGTCAGGTGAAGACTTTTGAGACGATAAGTTGTGGTCATTGAAGAATAAAGATAAATATTTATAAATAGAATGCTCAGGGAAAAAAAAAAGCTTTAGTGCAAAGTCTTATAATCTGAACATGCATTTATGAGTATGTCCGAGGGAATCAATATTTTACGAGTACCACCGTCTGCAGGCCATTTAAAGTTTATTTTGTGTAATCAAAACCTATGGCTACAATCGAATATTCCTACCGATATTTACCCGCATATCAGTCTCTTTTTTATTTATTTTTTTTCTTGCCGATCGCTGAGCATTTTTTTAGATCTGAAGTGAGGGTCAATATGCCCTTATAATGGTCATAGCATATCATAAAAGATTACAATAAAAAAAGATCTCCTCAATTAATTATCATGATAGATAGCTAAGCGATAGATAGCAGTAGCTTTTTACACATTCCTAGAAATCTTTATTTACTTATGTGAGTACATACTATACATATATAAATGATATTTAGGTGCATACATAAGTACGAGTACAATAGTACTAATCATCATTCATGCTGATAAGCATGAGATTATTGAGACTTGTGTGTGTGTGTGATTGAGAGCTCGTTCAGTTGTCTGGAGATTGTCGAAGTGAACGGATCGAAATGGAGACGCAAACATTTGTACTGGCAGTTTTGGTCGCGCTCTGCCTCTGCGGCTTGCCACAGAGGACGGAAGGGGTTCGCATGAAGATACCCCTCATACCGGATCTACCAAAATCGTTTGACTGTCGGGCTGACAGCATTGGTATCACCTACAATCTGACAGCAGTAAGTAGGGATGAGCGCTGACCCCCACCCCCCCCAAGAATTTCTATTCTAATTGCAATTGAGTTTCCCTGCAGCTCTCTGGCTTCTGGTACGAGGCTGCCCGCGTGCCGAATGTGGATGTGCTGGAGTGTCTGAATGTGTCTGTTCCCGACGCCATCGAACAGGATCAGCTTGAGCTGGATTTGAAATACATCAGCACCGTGAACGGTGGCTGGCAGTACACCGAAGAACAGGTAAACTTCCCCTGGGACAATGACACCGAACGCGGCGTCTTCAAGCTACAGTACGGAAGAATCATAGTCACGTACAAACTGATAAACACCGACTACACTACGTACGCGCTCGTCTGCGGCTACGGCAACATATCCCCGATGCCCCTCTTCAAGCTCTTCACGCGCCAACGGGAGCTTAACCAGACTATAATAGCAGTAATTCAGGCGGTAGCCGATCAGCAGGGGATCGGCAACCAGATTGCCTGGGAGCAACAATCGCTGGCCAAGTGCAATGCCTCCACTATGGCAACCTCTTTAGGAATCGTAATTGGATTCGTTTTTTTACTGTCCGCCTACTTTAGATAGTTTGTGCACCTACACATTGAATTTAGAGTGTAAGTTATGTCACAGGAAACTGTTACGTGAAATTCTAATCAACGTTTTATCATATCATGGATATCTGTATTATGGTTGTTGCCATTTGCGGCCGTTGAACTGATCTTTGATATGAATCATTAAAGTCTGATATCCACGATCATAAAGAAATTGGGCCAAAGAAAGTATGTGGACAGATATCTGTAATGTTTAGGCATAAGTACGAGTATATCTTAGTATTTTTCAAATGAATTTATGAGTACATCTGATAAGTAATTAAAGATCTTCCTACCTTAAAGCTCTTTTCATTCCGATCAGTGTTAGTGTTTCGGTCTTCCCTGAAACGTTTTCTTTGTCTTGTTTTTCCACCCTACTCTTTCGGCTGATAAGCGATTTGTATTCAGATTAAATCAAGCACACGCATATTGAGAGGAATAGAGAGAGAGTTTCTATTTCAAAGCAGGCTGATGGGCATACCCCAGTACCCCCCGTAACCCCCGTAACCCCAGTAAGCACATGCCGGTGCAATTACGTTGCCTGAAACGCCGAAAGGAAATGCTTCGAAATATGACCAGAGATACCGATGAGGAATTTTTTTTGGTCGATTTTCTTGGCATTTTCATAAACCCACTGCAGCCGAAAGGGAATGCAGGAAGGGGGTGGTGGGCGAAATAAAGCGAATGGAAAATGCTTTAAGTAGAGCTCGAAGCGTTTTCAGCTTCAGCTTCATTGGGCCTCCACTCCGGACACGGACACGGATCCGGCCTGGTCCCGTTTTGCTGGCCAGTTGTCGACGATTCAATGAAGTGCAAAAGAGTGGAGGACGGAGCCGGGTAGACTGGTAGCGATAGCAGGGCACTTTCATTGATTTGATGCGTTTGCGTGCCGCTTGCGGTTGTTGCATGCTTGACTTGAGCGCCACCGAAAGCCGACCGAAGGGAAGCCCAGTACCAGCGGCCATGGGAGTGGTTAAAGGAGCTCCAAAGCTGTTTACTCGAAGCAAACCAAGTGAAATTGAAAGCCTTTTTGCCGATAATTGTGTCCGGCTGCTGCTCCGCCTGCTCAAGGACCGGCCACCGATCCTACTCAACGTTGCGCTGGTATGTGTGCACAACATGATTACTTGCCCCAAAATGGACGTAATCATGCGATGACTCTGCAAAAATCTCTCCAAACATACCAGACGCCCAGCCACGCCCTAGAAAAATGAAAGAAATGGTAGAAAGCAAATCGAAAACTGAAAACGAAAGTTAATGTGGCACAACGGCACAGGCCACATGGCCGGAGCTGGGGCAAAGGGTTAGAAATGGCTAACAACAAGAGTCGAACCCTGCCGCCAGTCCGTACGTGTTCCAATTAATTTTGACATTTGCTCTTAATAGATGTGCAACAAGGTTTCGATTTCGGTTGAGTTACGCCCTGGAAAACAGGGTTCATAAATAAAGTGACCCTTTTTTTCTTTTGCAGAGATACAGAGATGGAGAGATACAGGTTTTGTGATTGAGATGAAAGAAATCTGACGACTGGAAGCAGTTCCAACTGAGTTCAGTTCAATCTCAGTTCCTACAGAATGCCGTCTATATGATAACCCTTATCCTCATCCCTCATCCTCCTTTAGCTTTCAAGTACAAATATTTTCACAGCACTCACAATTCCCGCCACTCCTTTTGATTATGATAATCATGATTAACCCATGCAAGGGCCCAGAATTTATGCTCTTTACATGGACTGCTTAAAAATGCAACTATTCAAAATGCACGGGCCAAAAATCTGGCAAACTTTTCCCAGACTGCAGCCGAGCACAATCGAAAGGCGGGGAACTACAGCAAACAGGAAAAAAAAGGAGAAGAGAAGAGAAAACTAAAAACCCGGCAGCCCAAACATGCGAAACTATTAAAAACATGTCTTTGTCCTTTGGCTTCGGGTGGCATATAATGAAATTCCTAGCTGCTTTGTGGACCCAGGACCCACCGAGCCACTTGGCGGCATGCCTCGCGCTCCCTCTCCGCATGTGCCTCAGATTTTTTCCAGTATCAATCTAGGTGAAATATTAACAAGCGGAGTCGAGACTAAAGTTTGTGCGACAGAAGAGACAGAAAGCCGACGAGGACGGCAGCTGCAACAGCAGCGACGGCAGCTCATAAAAATTCCTTAGCTGACGACAAAAGCTGCGGACCAGGGCTGGATGGGGGAGGGGCAGGGGATATATGTATATGGGGAGGAGTCTGGAAGAGCTTAAAGCGCGGCAAGCGATGCTGAAACAATAGACTCGAGTTAACTTAAATTGATTCCCAGACGTTTACCGGCAGAATGAAACTCAACTCAGACATCGCCATTTTGTTGTGACTCCAAAGTTACTTGCCCCGGCCCGTGCTGCCCCCCTGCCTCTTCTGGCACCTTGATTGCAAGTTATTTGCAATTTTGTGCAAATTTAAAAAAGGCAAAAAGGACCAAAATGAGAGGGAAACGCAGACAGACAGCTCCTCCCGCCTCCCGCCTCCTTCCTTCCTTCCTGCTTTCGACTTTGGCACTGCACTTGAACATTTTTTAAGTGTGCGCGAAATTTTTTATGCAATTTGTTCCTGAACGAATGGAGGACGGATGGTGGGAGTCGGGCTATGGGCCCCATGTTGCCCAGGAGACTGCCCCGCCGTCTGGCCCCGTCCAGCTGCTCAATTTGCTGGTTTATTTTTTGCATTCGGGACTCGGGATTCGGGATATTAAAATTGACACTTCATTTATGTCACTCTCAATGTGGCAGTCAAGTTTCAACGATTTTAAATGATTTTCGAGCTCCGCATTGTGTGGGGGATTGTACTGCAATTTCCATTGGAAGATGGCATCCACTTGATGTAATCAAAATGGAATTGTTGTTGCGGTTAAGGATTGGGTGTGAGCTTTATTGAGTCCTTGTTTTTTTTACGCCTTAAAGAGGGTTAATACTGGATAAAGAACTATGTAGAGATAGCACCACTCTGCAGGGGCCTTCTTTCCCTACAATCCAAAGTTCTCCAAGTGATCCGCCACCAACATTTCCATTTCATTTCAAATTCCCTTTAATAAAACCCTACAAGTTCATCGTCTCTCCCACCTTATAAGGTGTTTCCGACTGCCAATCTCTGCCTTTGGTTAACTTCAGTACTGCCTCAAAAAGAGGGCCTGGCACTAGAAGATTTCATTAAGTGCTGGTTGTGGAAGTCCTTTTAGCATCAGTACACGCTGTGCACCCTCGGCCTTCTGTGCAACAATGAAACTGCAACAAAGCCCCATAGCGCAACAAAAACAAGAAGCGAAGACTGCGAAGGTTGCACTTGAAGTCATTCAGCCTCATACTGCGAGTGGTGCAAACTTTTTAAGTGAATTTTTGATTAGATCTGGACGAAAGTTTTTTGTCGCACAGCCCCAGCAGCAGCAATGGACGGAGCGAAAGGCGAACGGGGAACGGGGAACAGGGAACAGACATATATATAGAATAGATGCCTTTTCCAACTTAAAGTCACCAGTTAGTTGTGCCCTTTGTAATTTGCGCAAAAGTATATTTATTTGTGCGAAGGGATAATAATAAAATATGCGCTACAGATAGTTGCCAGCCCGCGCCAGTGCTGGAAAGTTGTCCCTGGACCGAACGGAGTAGCAAAGGTAGCGAAACTGTACCTACTGCAACTTTTCGCGAACAGTTCTCAGTCTGGCCGCCTCCTCCCTCCCTCTGCAGTCGAAATCAGGCTGGTTTCATTGCTGAAGTTTTGCGCCAAAGTTAATAAAATTATTTGCCACAGACTTTGATAAATATGAAACAAGTCTCTGGCAAATGGCAAATAAATACTGAAACACCAGAACAGAGAAGGAAAACTCCTGTAGATCGGTGGGACAGAGAGACAGATAGAGTTTTGTCGCCAATATGAATTATTTGGAAAAGTTGTGTTGCAATTTCTGTGCAGGTCGCTTCAAGTAATTGCTCTTGCAGATAAGGGTCGAGTGGGAGGACATGGATAGTTTACAAAGGTTAGGGATATAGATAGATATATTGATTTGGAGCCGAATCATCCCACTATCTATCCTGCATTCTTTATATGATTTTTTGTAATTATTCTTAAACCAAATAGCAATAAATTTTCCACCCCATCTTCGATCCGCCATCAACCACATACAAAAAATATCGTCAACAGAGGAACATTTTAAATTGCAACCCTAGACCCCTGCCAATCCTTTCAGGGTTGTCCCAGCTTGGTCCTGCTCCTTTTTTGCTTTTTTTCTACCATATGCATTCCATGTACGAGTAGTTATTATTCATTGTCGTGCTTCAGCAAATATCAAATAGAGTCCGGCGAGTGGCTGCCGGGGATTCATTCCTTCTGACTCTTCTTTATGCTTCACTCTCCGCCGTATTTTGTTTTCTCCGTTACACACTCGTATGAGCTGGGCGGATCGGACTGGAATGGCAGGGGTGTGGTTTATTGGCAACCCCAAAACGACATTTGCAAAAAATAAAAGAAAGGAAACGAGAAATTTTTAATCGAAACATTTGTAGCGTGAAATTGTCGTTATGTTTGCATTCCTTTTTTTAAGCAGCAATATGTTAGGATTTAAATATATGTATTTATGGGTTGGTATGGGATGTATCGATTATTGATTGGTTTCTGCTTTACAGAGAATTTCAATAAATTTGCAACTTTTTCGAGCTGCGGAGGAGTCGCTGATGTGTGACATTGATATGCCATCGAAGGGCGAGAACAGTCATTAGCCGGTCATTAATCATAATTAAAAGAGAGCCACATCCCCCACCTCACACCTCCCACTGGGGTAATCCTTTTCGGGTAGACTTAAATTTCGTAAGAAACTTAAAGAGCTAGTACAGGGCCATAAATCTCAATTTTCCACAAATTAGGCGACGATATGCCAAGGAAAGACCACTCCAATCCAGAGTTCAGGTAACTGAAAGCCACACATCAACTCCAACTATAACTCAACTCAATTCGGGAGTTTCGCCTATCGGTTCTCTCTCTCTTCGCTCCCTCTTGGTGACATCTGCTCAATTTATCGTTATTTCTGGCAAAAGCAAAACAAAAAATCAATTTACCCTATGATAAAAAGAACCAACAGTAGAGCACCAGCGACCATCGGAGCAGGAGAAAATAGGCAAAAAAATTCCAAATGAAGACAGCAACAAAGGGCAACAGGGGGAACAGGGAAAAGGAAAACTTTTGAAGCTGGCAAATCGAACTGTTCCGCCGGTTCCTCCTCCTCCCGGCTCTTTGGCTCCTGAAGCATTTAAGTGATTTATGCCTTGGAAACTGTTTT